AACATCCACTACCTCAACTAACACCAATGTTCAACCATAAGTAATCTCTACGAGGATAATTATAAACCTTGCTCAACCCAGAAAGTCACAAATTAGGCATTCGTAGTAGTTCTCAATAACACAATAATTTTAATTTAAGACTCACGGTCATGCTTGACACCGACGTATAGATACTCGTCACCACACCTATACGTCGTACTCAACACATAACATATAGCATACCGACCAAACTCATATTCCCTCAAGCTAAGGTTAGACCAAACACTTACCTCGATGCCACGAACACAGTTCAAGCCTCAACTATAGCTTTACCTCGTGATTCCACCACCAATTCGCTCGTATCTAGTCACAAGTTACTTAATTACATGAATGAATGCTAAATAAACAATTTTTAATGCATGAAAATAAGTTTTCTAAAGCCTTTCCCAAAAAGTCAAAAATCAGCCACGGGCCTACATGGTCAAAACCCGAGGTTCGAACCAAAACCCGACTACCCATTCACCTATGAACTCAAATATATAATTTATTTTAAAATCGGACCTCAAATCGAGGTCCAAATCCTCTTTTTTTGAAAAACCTAGGTTCTACCCAGAACACCCAATTTCCTCCATGAAAATCATTGATTTTGAGTTGAAATCATGTTAAAAGATGTTAATGATTGAAGAAAACTAATAAAAATTGACATACAATCGATTTGGAAGAAGAGTTGTTCTTGGAAAATCGCCCTAGGGAGTTTTTATTTTGAAAAGATGTGAAAAAGGGTTGTTTTTCGGCTAAGTATAAAAAGTTGCAGGCTGCAGTTATGGGAATTGCGAAGGGAGGTTGGGAAATCCGAACAGGGAATTGCGAAAGGAGGTTGGTAAATGTGAATTGGGAATTGCAAAGGGAGGTTGGGAAATGCGAACTGGGAATTGCGAAGGGAGGTTGGCAAATGCGAAGCCTGCAGGCCTGCAATTCCTTAAGTCCAAAATTTCACCCCGTGGCCTATCCAAAACTCACCCGAGCCCTCGGGGCTCCAAACCAAACATGCACACCACCCTAAAAATATCATACGGACTCGCTCGTGCATTCAAATCACTAAAATAACATCAACAACTATGAATTTAGCATCAAAATCATGAAACTTTCTCAAGACTTCAAATTTCCAATTTTCTCAATAACTATCCGATTCACGTCGTTTCAAGTCCGTGTCTTACCAAATTTTACCAACAACACATATAAATCATATGAACCTGTACCGGGCTCCGGAACCATAATACGGGCCCGATACTACAGGTTTCACATAACATTTCACTTTCAAAAACCTTTATATTTTTCAGAAAACAATTTCTTTCAAAAATTCATTTCTCGGGTTTGGGACGTCGGAATTTGATTCCGGGCATACGCCCAAGTCCCATATTTTCCTACAGACCCTCGGGGACAGTCAAATCACGGGTCCGAGTCCGTTTACCCAAAATGTTGACCGAAGTCAACTTAATTCTTTTTAAAGCCAAATTTTATCATTTTCACAGATTTTCACATATAGACTTCCGGCTACACGCCCGGGCTGCGCACGCAAATCGAGATGATGCTAAAAGAGGTTTTTAAGGCCTCGAAACACAGAATTTAATTTAAAAACAAGTGATGACCTTTTGGGTCATCACACATGGGCCATAACAACATGAATTCGGATCAATTAAGCCAATAAATTTTAAATACTAAATAATTATGCTAAAAAATAACTTAATTAATTTGAATAGTCGACCAGTAAATTCTAAAATATCAAATTACTATATCAAAGATATTGGTCAAGTTAATTTAATATCTATCGAATTTTTTATTTTAATAAATATTATGGAATCATCTTTGTTAGAAGTAGCGGTGTATATAGGTCGGGTTGGTTCGAATTTTGCAACTACCAAACCAAATCAATTGTGTCGGGTTATTAAATCTGAACACCAAACCAAACCAATAAAACTCGGGTTTTCCAATCTCGGATTTTCGGGTCTTTCGGATTTTTTCGGATTTTTTTTCGGTAAAATCTTTGTAGCACAGAACATATCACTTGTGCTCAAATATTTCTTTAATCCTAGTGAAATACAACTATATAAGGTATTTTCCAAGAAAATAATACAAAATATGAGATGTGTCATAACATTATCCTAAAATATTCAACAATAAATACAATAAAATTATGTAATATAAATATTGCTAATTAACAACAACAAACCCAGTATGATCCCAACAGGTGGGGTCAGGGGAGGGTAGTCAGTATTCAGACCTTACCCCTACCTAATGCAAGTAGAGAGGCTGTTTCGCTAATTAAAACGCCATATTAAAAATAAACATAATCTGAAAGTATTAAGACAAGCTAAAATAAGTAGACTAATTAATTACATGACTAAACGCTAAAGAAAAAATAAAAAAAGATTATGCATTTTTATCTAAATTATTGCAAAATAAAAAATAGATATTCAATATATTGCCGTTCGTAGTATTGAATTGAATGTCTTTTGTTAGCATTAGTATTGATTTGATTTTGGTTTGAGCTTTTCTTAGCATTATTTAAGTTACTAATATTAATGGCTATAAAACTTATTGGAACATTCAAAAGTTCTAAGTCCAACCTTGAATAATACCTTAGAAGATAAAATTATGAAAAAGATAAAAAAAATATTTATAAATTACATCACAATAAGTATATTTATATATTAAATATATCTAAAATTTCTATATATGTAATTTTGGTTTGGTTTCGGTTTGACTTTCTTTAGTTAAAACCAAACTAAACCAAGTATGGTCGGGTTTTTTTCTCCAACACCAAACCAAATCAAACCAAACTATAGTGGGTTTTTTTCTCGGTTTGACTCGAATCATCGGGTTGGTGCGGTTTGTCGATTTCCTTTGTATACCCCTAGTTAGAAGCACTTTACCCTTTAATGCATAATATTTTTAATGTGTAACCGAACTTAATCGGCTCAATACATACCAAACACCAAATGAAAAAAAAAAAATTACAAGTGTACTATCTCACCATACTAGTCGTGAAAATACAACTTTTTCAACTACCATTACTTTCCAATGGGTCATTCTAGAAGGAGGAAATAAACTCTGTATATACAACACACACATGCCTTCTACTCATCATTCCACGTTCAATTTCTAACACAAATATATCTTTTAGCAAAGTTTTTCACACTATTCTCTCTCTCCTCTCTCTTTCTCTCTCTAGCAATAACAATGGCAATCAAAGTCCTTTTATGTTGAAAAATATAAAAATTTCCTTTGAAATTTCTTACATGAGATCCAAGGGAAAAAAAATAGAAGAAAAAAGCTTAGTCAACTTTTTCCTTTTAATTTGCTAGGTCTTTGTCTCTTGCGCAAGTCGTCGCAGTTGAGAACTTGAGATCCACATTTTGTGATTTAGCATATTATTATCACTTTATATCTTTGGACGTAGTGGATAACATCATTGGGCAAGTTATATATTTGGTCCGCCGATAAAAAATAATTTATATTCATTAGTTAATATTCCAAAATATATATTAATTATGCATAAATTATGTGTACCATGTATACTATACATTAATATATAAAATACATATATTTTGTCGACTATTATTTTTAAAAATAATTATACGTACAGTATAGTTTTTCCGACATCTTTTTGTGATATATGGCCATGCGTAATATTCTTCGTAATATCCTGGAAATTTGCTGGCCCACTGACCACCTACTCCTAATAATTTATATGAACGCAAAATTATTGACTTTGTACAATTTGCTTAACCAAAGTTTATTTAATACTCTATATACGTGTGAAAGACTTAGAAAGTCTCTGCAAATTGAACACAACTTCTCTTTTTCTTTTTCTTCAACTATATATATCTTGTATTCAAAGTTTCAAAGTGAAATGGATGATATATCCTCACTCTTAACTAGAGATTTTCGATTTGAGCATTAAAAATAAATTCGTAAGAAAGGAAGAAATTCAAAAATAGCTAGATTTACAAGTGGTCGTTCAAAAATAGCCCACTTACAAAAGTAATCGAAATTTAGCCACTTTTCATGTAAAGATAAATCCGAACGAAAACACTGTTCAAAATCCGGAAAAATACTCCAGCATAATATACTGAAGTTCCAGTATATCCAGTATAATACACCGGTCCAGCATAATATACTGGAGTTTGGAGCACCGGTGCTCCAATCTCGAGTATATTATCCTGGAGCCAGCAAAGTATACCAGTCCAGCATAATATGCTGGAAGTTCATACACAGGTGCACCGAACTCCAGTATATTATGCTGGCATTGTCTCTGTTGCAGCAAAATAGTGACTATTTTTCATTAACTTGGTAAACGCTGGCTATTTTTGAATGGTCAGTCCGAAAACTGACTAGACCATGCTATTTTTACGAAGCTCTTACTCCTTAATGGGCCTATGTGACAAAAATCCAAATTAATTGTGCCAATAAATTTCGAATACTAAATGATTATGCTAAAAAATAACTTAATTAGTCTGAAGTAGTCGACCAGTAAATTCTGAGTACTGAAGTTACACCAAAAAACTTGACCTAATTAATTTGATCTCTACCCAAAAAAAATCATAATTCGAATATGAAATCTCTATTCAAATTAATTGGACCAGTAAATTCCGAAAATCAAACAACTATATAAAAAAAATTGTTTAATTAAGTTAATCTAAAATCTATCGAAAAGTTCTTTATTTTCAATGTGTACTATCAGTGTCTTGGATGTAAAGTCGTATTTGTTAGAAAGTGTTTTGCCCTCCAATATGTGATCTTGCAATGGGAATCCAAACTTAATCGGCTTGGATCCTACAATGCGAATCCGAATTTAATCGGCTCAATACGGTATCCAACACCAGATGAGAAATAAAAAATATTAATAAGTGTACTATCTCACCATACTTGTCGGAAAAAATGCAACTTTCAACTATCACTACTTTCCAATAGGTCATTCTAGAAGGAGGAAATTAACTCTATATATACAACACACACTTGCCTTCTACTCATCATTCCACGTTTAATTTCTAACACAAATTATTCATTAAAGTTTTCCACATTTTTTTTATTTTCACACTATTCTCTCTCTCCTCTCTCTTTCTCTGTCTAGCAATAACAATGGCAATCAAAGTCCATGGCCCTGTTATGTCACCTGCTGTAATGAGAGTCATAGCTACCCTCAAAGAAAAAGAGCTTGATTTTGAGCTTGTTCCTGTTAATATGCATACTGGTGATCACAAAAAAGAACCTTTCATTTCTCTCAATGTAAGTCTAAATCTTAATTATTAGCCTTGTATTTTCATCTCCTTTTTATTTTAATTTATAAACGATTACAGTCAAATTTCTTTATAACAATTGTCATGTCTCTATAATAACATTTTCTCAAAGCAAACATCTTTTTTGGGACCTATCTTTCATGTCATGTTATAGTATATGTTCTAGAGACGGAGTCAGGATTTGAAATTTATGGGTTCGAGATTAAAATTATTGTAAGTTATTGGGTTCTAATTTAATAATTTGTGTATTGTTAATGAATTTCTTAAGACAAATATAAGATTTGGACCCAAGCTAATGGTTCGACCGAACCCCTGACTTCTAGTGGCTTAAAAATATCGAAAGAAACGAGGCTGTTACAGAGAGATTTGACTATAGTGAGTTTAATTTAGAGTAGATCTAAGGATGGAGATCTCAAGCTCCTAAAAAATAAAATGACTTAATTTTATTTTTTTATTCATGCAGCCATTTGGTCAAGTTCCAGCTTTTGAAGATGGAGATCTCAAGCTCTTTGGTAAGTAATAATTGCACATTTGATCCCTCAGTTTTTTATGGTTTTTAATTTTGGTCCTTTTGATATTTCATTAAATATACTTAACCTTGAATTTAATTTAATTATATGTTATTGGTCCCTCTACGTAGAAAATATGCTATTTTTATATCATTTTCAAACTATATAGCCCTCAAATATAGAGTAATAGTACAACTTTAACATTGACATACGAGTAATTTAGATAGTTTAGCCGATAATAATTCGTTAAATTTGTGAAGACTCATAAGTAAAAGGATCAAAAGTGTGCTTATTAAGTAATTGAAGGTTAAATGTGTTAAACCGATATCATAAGGATCAAAATCAAAATTTATTAATATTTCAGGGACTAAAAGCACAAATTTTTTTTTTGGTAATATACTAACTTTCCTGTCACAATAGCAGCCCACATTATCTTCTTTCTTGATTTACCCATCATGATTTATGTAGAAATTTCATTGATCTTTCTCTCTCTCTCACACACACACACAATATATATATATATATATATATATATATATATATATATATATATATATATATTGAACGCGTACCACATGATCATACGCTTCTGAACTCGACTAATCCAAATTCACGTTGCATAAAGCCCAGTAAGGATAATCTCTCCACCAACGGGTTCGGCCGAACCCAGTAGCTTTGGTTTGAACCCCTGTATTTGTCTTAAAAATCCATTGAATATGTATAAGTTATTAATTTAGAACCTAGTAACTTAAAATGATTAGAATTACGAACCCATAAGCTTGAAATTCTGGCACCGCTTCTGTTCTTTCTTAATTTGTCATGTTGATATATGAAATATTGCTAATCATGCAGAGTCAAGAGCCATTACTCAATATATAGCACACACATATGCAGACAAAGGAAACCAACTATTAGCCAATGAGCCCAAAAAAATGGCAATAATGTCAGTATGGATGGAAGTAGAATCAACAAAATTTGACCCTATTGGTTCAAAGTTAAGCTTTGAATTAGCTGTTAAGCCAATGTTAGGAATGGTAACAGATGATGCAGCAGTGGCAGAAAATGAAGAAAAATTGAGCAAAATTCTTGATGTGTATGAAACAAGACTTAAAGAGTCAAAATATTTGGGTGGTGAGAGTTTTACATTAGCAGATTTACACCATGCACCTGTTGTGCATAATTTAATGGGGACTAAAGTTAAGAGTTTGTTTGATGCTAGACCTCATGTTAAGGCTTGGTCTGCTGATATTTTGGCTAGGCCTGCTTGGTCTAAGGCACTTGAGTTGCACAAACAGTAAAACTGATCTCAACTCGTTTGGGACTGAGGCGTAATAGTTGTTGTGGCCTATGAATCAGCAAGTTAATAAAATTTGGGCCGTAGGAAACTGATTCCAACTTATTTGGGACTGAGGCGTAATTGTTGTTGTTATTGTTGGAAAACTTTTTTTATTGTGTTTGGTTTGACTGTTATTGTATTGTAAACGTTTCGTTTTTTTTTTTTGAAGAAGAAGAAGAAGAAAAAATCTCCCATATCATCTGTTGTTTTTTGTTACGATTATGACTGTTGAATTACATGAAATGACTTTGTGTTTTTTTTTACTAGTCTTTTGTACTAAAAATTAATTTTCTTTTAACTTGTTATTTAATTAAATCAGGAAAATGATATTATATAGTCACTATTAAAATAATAGTAAAAAAATATGTATATATATATTATGTATGTTATATACAAAAATTATATAAATTTTATATACTTTTTGACTAATCAAATATAAATAATTTCTAGCGCGGGCTAAAACTGTTAATCCCCTTATTAGAGCCCGTTTGGACATAAAAAAAATTTCTTTTTTTCGAAATCAGCGTTTGTTCATAAACTTTTCAATTTTCACTTGAAGATGCATTTTGAAAATTTTCGAAAATTTGAAAAACTCTAAAAACCTGTTTTTCAAAATTTTCAGAAAAACTTCAAAAATAATTCAAACTGAATTTTATGTTCAAACACAATTCTAAATTTTAAATATCATTTTCACTTGAAAAAAATTTTTGCCATTTTTTGAAATTTTACAATTCTTATGTCCAAACGCCTACTTATGTTCTTTCAATTTTAAGTTTAGTTCCATTGAGTTGTTGGCCGACTAAAAGATGCGATTCTAGACATTGCAATTACCAATGATGCTCGTGAGACTTGGTCAAACTTCAATGTTCACTTACTCCTATAGATTTTTGAAAAACCAAATTTCTAAATAATCTTTTTCAATTCAACCACTCGTTTTTTTTATGTCAACGTCAACAAATATTGCCCAAATCTCAAAAAGTGAAAAGCTTTCTAAATTAAATAGGCAGAATGGCCTAAATGGCACATATACTTGTGCCACTTTGTCATGCCGGTCCCCAAATTCAATAATTTGCCAACCAAACCCTTATACTCCTTCAAACCGTGAATAATAAACGCTTATGACAGGAAGCTGTCAGTGCGTATAACACAATCTCTTCCACGTTGGCTGCCACGTCAAAAATAACAATGTGTAAATGCCATGTCACTTGGTAGATTAAAAATAATTAAAATCAAAAAATAAAATTCAAACATTAATCCCCTAATCATCTTCCTCAAATGATGCGACTGCTGTGAACAGTAACACAGCAACACTTCATTCTGCTGCCAGAAATGGGCATGTGTCGAAGCAAAACTGATATTTATCATATCTGTTCTGGTTCAGATCAAGTGATTCCAAGCAGCGGAGATTGTTCTCCACTAAAAATACCATCGACCCACCAAGTTTCAGACAATTTCAATGCCGGAATAGTCTCCTCCAACCAACTGAATATGGCCGGCGAATACCAGTTGGTCGAGGATGGAGCTACAGGTGTCCAAATTGAACAAGACCAATACCAATTGACTCCAACTGAGCAAGTGATTGATGCCAAACGATCGAACAACAACTACAATGAATCAATCGTCACAACAATTCAAAAAATAAAATCTGCAGAATTGCAGACACCAGGTGTTCGATGAAATGCTAAAGTCAGGGGAGGGGAGAAAGAATTGGAGAGAAAATGTTGAAGAGAGAAGAAAAAAAGAATTGGACAGAAAATGTTGGAGAGAGAGAAAAACATAGAAGAAAAGCTCACTTTTTTTCAACAAAGGAGGATGAACAATCGGGAAGAAGATGACAGCCAAAAAATGGCTCTTGGTGCCTTTTTAATAGGCCTCACGCTCCTTAAACGAGTGTAGCACACGCACTTCAGTAAAAAATACCACATAGGATGAGCGGGGTTTAAAATGCTCAGTTTTTAAGGGTAGGGGAGTTTGGTTGGCAAATTATTAAGTTTGGGGACCGGAATGACAAAGTGGCACAAGTATAAGTAGCATTTAGGCCATTCTGCCAATTAAATATTAATAGTAGTAGATAGCATAGCACTCGGGGACTGAATCCTTAGAAATTAAATGTCTCATTCATTGAATTTCCCCCTCAGGGCCTCAGGCTCGCTTTAATTAACTTTTACCAATTTTTATATTAAGGAATTTATTTTTTAACATTAATTAATAATAAATTTAGCATATTAATCTGTTTTATCATTTTAATTTGTCCTTTGAAAATATAACAAATATTCCGAGACTCTTACTTCAAGGGCAACTTTAATAAAAAAAATTATTAATATCTTGAAGAAAAAAAATATTGTGGACCATAAATATCAAAAAATCAATTAAAGTGGACTAGAGAAACTATAAAAATCCTAGCATTGACTTGTTTATTCCAGAGTAAAGTGGTCTGAAATTTTGATAGAACTTGTTGTTGAAGTCTATTACCTACCTCATATTTTAAATTAGCAAATTAAGGTGGTTGTCTTAACCTTATTGAGGAAAATAGAGATTAACATCATGTCATGTCATGTCATGGTCATTCAATTATTTTGACAAAATAAACAATTCTTGAAGAAAGAATCAATACATTATGTTGGCTCGAAAAATTTTATTTGTGTATCACACATAGTTGTGTGAAGCTTTTTTTTTTTTTTGTCTTATAACTGTGTGGTCACAAAATAAAATCACTCGACTCTAAAACACTAAATAATGCTTAGTTTGGAGAGGATAGCGTATACTAGACTAGCAGCCTAAATGGATAAATGGATTTGTACAAAAGAATGAGTTTTCAGGGCTAAGCTAATCCAGTTACAAAGTGGAATTGTTCAAAATACTCAAACATATATTATGCGCATCCGGGGAATCGAACCCCGGTCAGTACCGTGGGAGGGTACTATGATACCACTACACCAGATGCGCTACTTGATAGTAACTGCAACCTCATTTTTATAAGATATGTGATCCAGGTGTCCCATCTTTAGAATTAACAATAATAATTCATTCGACTTATTGGCTCCCCACTTTTGGAATTTTCATTATCAATAACATCAAAATATAAATGTAAAGAATAAGCCACAATCAAGAAAGATTTTAAGCCTCAAAGTCCTAGATTCTACAATCAAAGACTATTTTCTTGATAAATGAACGTCTTATTCACAAAAGTAATGGCACCATGAAAAGAGTTGCCCAAGATGAGCATAAAATGTTGTGACCTTTCTATACTTATTCTTTTGGTAAGTATTATACTTTTTAGGCAGGTTATACCTATGGCATCAAAGTGCCTGCATTATGATTTGTATACCTCTTTGCTATCTGTACAGGAAATTCTCTTTTTACCACTACCACAAAATGTGGAAAAAAGGAGCTTTATTTGTTTAGATTATTTTCTATACGAGTTAATTACATCTATGGCGATATACTGTTTTCTATTCTTCCAATTCCACATTTTAAACAAAGCAACAACTAGGGAAACCAGGCCAGAGTTGATGCAAGCATTTGATTCAAGTCATTCAAATACCATTTCAGTAATTAGTACAAGCACCCACAACTCAAGCACAAAAACTAGTTCCTGACTCAAGTGGATAAAAATGATATATGTCCGCTCACATGAAACTTTAATGTTCAATAACCCTATCCACTTTCAGAAAACTGAAAGTACAAACTTATAATCGTGCAAATATTTAGTGCGCTGACAAAAGCAAGCCAACAGATAATTGCAGTTAGCACCTACTTATGCACTCATGAGCTAGGCGTAGCTTCCGCTTTTCCCTCTGCAGCTTCACCTCCTACCTTACTGCTGCTTTGTTCTTTAGGTTCTCCCTCCGCCGTCTCTGTAGGCTTTGTGACTTCTTCCTCTGATAAAAGAAAATAGATCATATTATAAGCACAATGAAGAAGGAAATCTCAAAACTAGGATGAACAATCCTTTTCTATATTGCAGGATAAGGCAGGGAAAAGCAAGGCAGAGTCTTCTGGTTCTCACATTTCAACAACATTAGGAAAAACAAATATCGCCTTTTTGTTACTTAATCGATGACTGTAACTCTAATATCATAATTTATTTATTTTTGGTGGGGTTGGAGGAGTGGTGTGTTATTACCTAAACAGGTGAACAAACAATTTGGTTTAAGGACTCTAATCATTATGACATTGTAAGATCAACCAAGTATTCCCCATTGAACTAAAGCATATGACAAGCAAGAGGAGGATGATCATCATTATTTTCGCATAATAAAATTGTAAAGTCTAGAAACTCTTGATAAAATCATATCAAAGGGGGTAAAAAGAATTCTTAAAGTTATATCTTCGTGACAAATCCAGTAACTTCAAGCAAGGGAGTAGCATACTACCATCTGAAGCAAAAGATTTCAAGTGTAAGCAGTTTCCCATAGGCAAGACTCGGACTAATGCTCCCAGGCACGATTCCCGAGGCGTCTCTCTCTCCTTCCCCCTAGGAGGGAGATTCCCCCCCTTTCCCCTACCCCCCCCCCCCCCCCTTTCTTCTTTCTCCGGTCACCCCAATCGGAATTCAGGCTCCTTAGCCCTTTGCTGCAAGGTTTTTATATATCTTTTTTTCACTCATGGAACATAAGATATTTTTCAAGTCAGGGGGGAAATGTTTTGATATTCATGCTCACAATGAAGGTGCGGAATGCTGGTTTGAATGGGTGGGAAAGCAGCAGGTATATTTATCGAAAGCTGATGTTAAGCAGGAAGCTATCTTTGTGGGTCTGTCATATCCTCAAAGAAGCTTCTAAGTGTAAAGGGAGGATCTTCAAGACATGGAAGAATGGGGACCACTTCACAGACATTTATGGCTCTCTTAAGCATAATAAATTTGGCAGATTTATCTGTTTAATCTCAGTTCAGGGTCATAAAAGAACAGTTATGGTGCTACCAGAGAATGTTCCATATGAAGGGTGGGCCTTTAATGCTAGAAGTATAGAAAAATTTATTAATAGTACCTCTTTGGCCACCATGGCTCCTCTTAGGAGGAATATCCACAAATTATCTGGTGAAGAATCATACAAAGAGGCTCTGGAGAAGAGTACATGGAGAACTGATGAAGCGTGTCTTCAAACAACGTCTACATCAGATAATCTGAT